TATCCTAAAAACTATAGTTGAGACCAGATCTTCATGCTTTATTATTTGAATATCATGAATAACTGAGAGAACAGTGTCAATTGCAGAACACTGTTTTCTATCTCTCATTTATTCACTGAATAAAAGAGAATTACTGATAGAGCTTATAAAAGATAGTTAAGTAGCTATTATCTTTTCTAAAACCTTTTCTAGACAGTTCAATAGAGATATTACTCTATATAACTTAGAAATTGAAGTTTTTCTATTAAATTTTATAAGAATCACTTCAGTAGCTTCTCTTCAGTATTCAGAATAATATTCATTTTTTAAGAGATTGAAAAAGAGCTCAAAATATTCATTCTTTAAGTAGAAGTATGTATTTTGAATAATTAAGTAATTAATTGAATCAGACTCTACAGTAGTTTTAACTGAACTTGAGAAGATAGCTGACTTTAATTCATCTTGAGTAAGATTAGATCATTCTCAGTCATTTTCATCAATATAGTTGAGAAGTGATATATTCTCTTTCTCTGAATCTGAATCTGATGAGTTTTAAAAGAGAGTTCTTATAAAAGCTTGACATTTTTTCTTAAAAGTGTTTGCTGTATATGATTCATTCTGAAACTCATATTCTAAGATTGAAAGTTTTGCTATACTTCTTATTTTAGTATAGTTAAAAGCTTCAAAAACTTTCTTTTCTTATGCTTCTTCAAGAAATTTATTTCAGCAGTCTATTTTAGCTCTTTTAATTTTTGAAAAATATTTATTTCTGATAGTTTTAATCTCTTTATCAGAAATTATATCATTCTTTTAATCTCTTCTAACAGTAGTCAATTGTTTTCTTTTAGATGAGATATTCTCATTTCATCAAGATTTTGAATACTCAGAAGACTTTCTCTTTGAAATATTATCTTTAACACTTACTAGAACAATAGATGTAATGAGCTTTACTCTATTCTCAAGCATTTCATTTAAGATATCTTGATCAGAATTTCAATATAGCTCACTCTATCTTTCAGATTTTAACAGTTTTATGCTTTCTTCAACTGTTATTATTGTTATTATTATTATTATTCTTTCATTATACTCATATGCAAGCGGAGCTTATGATGAGTCCTTGCGTGATGTTAAATACAGGCCAAGTGTTGGTTATAG